GGGAGATGGGGGAAGGGGAGGAAAAGAGAGGAAATGTGAATCTAAGCCTCTGCACTTCGATTTGCTCAGTCAGCACAATGAGAAGAATCCACAACACTTTGGTTAAGTACCTCGCAAGGGAAGATAAAAGAAGATAAAATTCAATGATATTTCTGTGAAATGTCACCACATTCATAAAACAAACAATGTCAACCAGATAAAGTGCTTAAGGAGTTTAGGATTATTAAACATTTATGACTATACACCAAAGGGCCCCAAAAATTTTGTTTAGAGAATTCGATAATTTATGAGTGTATCATGGATCTCGAATTTCCGAGTAGATTTAAGGACAATGAGAAGCATTTCAATAAAAACATTTTAAATGCATGTTATCTTATCTAAATCCAGTTCAGTGGGTCACAGGCTACAAAATATGCTGTCTCTGCAGTCCATAAGATACTTTTAAATAAACTATTTTCCCAGAATGTTCTCATGTATTCAGTAATAATAAACTTCACAATGACTATCAGCTATCATGACTTAACTTGCACTAGGTTACGTTACAACAATCTATGGTTCTCTTTACCCCAGCCAAGTTTATAAAATCAGGTGTCAGCTATTGTACTAAGGAGAACTGTCTTCCCGTTGCTAACTAACGTAAATACACATTGTCATTCATATATTCAAAAATCATATCAGATTATCAATTTTACATGTTGATTGTGCAACAACTTCTGTGTGAAACTATACTTTTTTTAATAAAAAAGGCACACACTAGTTTAGGATGGATTGAAACAAACATTGATTGACGCACACTCCTCATGGATAATGTTTTTGCCTTAGTCCAATTTGTTTTGTAAGCAATAGATGCAAATGGTAACAAATCAAACAAGTTCCCAAACAAGCTTTTGATATGACAACGTTTAAAAAGAAGAAATGATATCCTTACGAAAATAGTTTACTTCTGATACCTTTAAATAAACACTCCCTTTGTGTACAGACAGCCTCTCCCACACACACACACACACATAAATTCAAACACTTTTGTTCTCCCTAGCATTAGAAGGAGTTGCATTTAAAAACGTAAAAATAATTTGCTGAAGCTTTTTTTCTTTTGAGAAAAAAAAGATGAAGTGAACAGGGTACAATTAAGGCAATAATGGTCTTTTTTTATATAAAAAACATGCTATAAAGCAAAGCAGTTTAAAACTACTGTAATTACAATACTTAAACCATTTTGAGGAACCCAAGAAATCAGCTCTTTTCATTCTGAAGGTTACTAGTGACCTTTACAAAGGGCATGCATTCAGCTGAGTTATTCTAAATGCCACTCCATCGCTTCGCCAGTAGCTTTTAGACACTTATAAATCAGCAATACCCATAAAATGTGAGTATTGACAGCTTAAACCAAAGGATTTCTGTGTCTCCCTTCCTTTCCCCCCTTCCTCCTAAACACATTGGCATTTAGCAAGATATAGCTTCAACCAGCCGTTGCAAACACACACCCACAACCCCCCCCCCTCCACACACACACACACACACACAGGAATCTTAGTAATTGCAGGAACGGTCAAGTGTACTGTGAGAGAAAGCTGCAATGCAAATCGACCTTAAACACCAAACAGCTGACGAACTTGATCGTTTTGCTGCGTGCATTACCTTTCGGGGTTTCTTTTTTAATAAACAAAATATATGTTTCTTTTATGGGCAGAATATATGTACATTAAATACTCTGCATTACTTTTCGGGGATGACATTGTTACAGTTCTGATGAGAGAGAGAGAAATAAAACGAGAAGCAAGCTGAACACAGACGATAATAATCCTTGCATTTGATATAGCGCTCTTCACGTCGGGAGGACGTCCCAAAGCGCTTCACAGAACACACTGTAAAGTGAATTGACTGTATATTTGTGGGCGAACGCGGCAGCCAATTGCGCACAGCAATGTCCCACAAACAGTTGTGGATTGAAAATGACCAATTTATTATTGTTTTGGGTTTTTGGAGGGATTATTATTAGGCTCTGTGTGGAGTAAGGAAACTTGCCCAAGGTTTCGCCCTCTGCCTGGAATTGAACTCAGGTCTCTCGCTTGCAAAGCGAGTGCTCTAACCACTGAGCTACAGGACAGAAGACAATTACATAAAAACATGATGTGTAACTCGCCTCATTTTACAACTGATCACAGATCCGAGACAAGAACCAGGTTGCAAACTTCAAAGCTGCATTAAAAAAAAAGGCCTGGCAACATATACAGCAGCCAATTTGCAATTGCCACGTTCTGCACCGATACACACATAAAACATTTGAGCTGTAGATTTAAACAGTGTGTAATTTCTTACCTGGTGTAATCTCCCTTAGCTTCCTGGGGTGGGGGGGAGAGAGAGAGGGAGAGAAAAATCAAATGCAGGGTCAGAAAGTGTTTTTTTTTAAAAAAAACAGGATGGGTTGTAACACAAAGTGAAGCAATCGGTGGCTCTCAGATATTAATTCAGTGGGAACCTCAGACACACAGACAGACAGACAGACAGACAGAGTTATAGGGAAGCGAGTGAATGGGCACAGAGCACAGACTGGGCACAGCGGGTGGTTATTGTGTGGGCACCGACTCTTCAGCAATACAAAAGGTTCAAAGGGGCCGGTGTTCAGGGGGGGGTTAATAGTAGGGGGGGCGGGGGTGAAGAGAGGGGGGTGAGCAGCCAGAGAGAGGGGTGAAGAGGGAGAGAGAAAGGGGAGAGGGAAGGGGAGAGGGGAGAGAGAAGGGGGAGAGGGGAGAGAGAAGGGGAGAGGGGAGAGAGAAAGGGGAGTGTGTGGGGGGGGGGAGGAGAGAAGGGGAGTGTGTGGGGGGGGGAGAGGAGAGAAGGGGAGTGTGTGGGGAGGAGAGAAGGGGAGTGTGTGTGGGGGGAGGAGAGAAGGGGAGTGTGTGGGGGGTGGGGAGGAGAGAAGGGGAGTGTGTGTGGGGGGGGGAGAGGAGGGGAGTGTGTGTGGGAGTTAATAATATTTTTGCAAGAAACGACCCAAATACTTCGCCTCCGGAGTCTGCAAACTGCTGCGTTCCGCGCAGACTCGACACGCACGTGCTCGAGTTTGTCGTAAGTTATTCCGCCCAACCACCACCACCACCACCGCCGCCGCCGCCCTCCACCGAATCCCTCTCAGCTACCAGTTTGGATTTAAACCCCTAATGATAAGCATAATCCTCGCATCCGATGTAGCGCTCTTCACGTCTTCGAGACGTCTCAAAGCGCTTCGCAGAATGCACCGTGAAGCGAATTGACCGGATATTCGTGGGCGAAATGCAGCAGCCAATTGCGCACGGCAGCGTCCCACAGACAGTCGCGGATTGCAGTGACCAATTTCTTTTGTATTTTGTTTCTCGGGGGATTATTATCAGGTGTGTGGAGTAAGGAAACTTGCCCACGGTTTCGCCCACTGCCGGAATCAAACCCAGGTCTCTCGAGTGCTCTAACCACTGAGCTACAGGACTCCCAATTAATCTTCAATCTACATTTTCTGCTGCCCCTGTAACAGCAATTGGCAACTGTTCATCTTTTTGCTGTTTTGGTGAGCTGTCGTCCCAACATCAAACCCCGAGGAAGTTTGAAGGGGAAACCAAAAGGAAACAAACATTTTACAAGGTTACTTTTTTTGAACACATTGTTTCCTTTCCAAAATATCTCCATCTCTCTTCACCCTCCCTTCCCCTCCTGGATGCCTTTTATTTTGGTTTTGGTCAGCCTAGTGTCTTTAACAGATGCAGAAACCCATCACCATGCTAAAAAAAAATAATTCGGTCACTCAATCCGTGACTGTTTGTGGGACACTGCTGTGCGCAATTGGCTGCCGCATTTTGCCCACAAAATATACAATCATTTCACTTTGCAGTGTGTTCTGTGAAGTGCTTTGAGGCGTCTCGAAGATGTGACAAGGCGTTGTGACAAGTTATTATTAAGAGTATCCAAACCAAGCTGAGAATTCCATGCATCCCACCTACAAATGGAGATTTTTGTCTTAAAATATACAAACGTTTGCTTAATTTTTATACACAAATTGGCCGCCGCATTGTTCTACAAATAGTTGTTTTACAGTAAATCCTGCAAAGCGCTTTGAGATGTCTTGCTGACATGAAACATACTATTA